AGGAGAATTCTTCTACGAGTTTTTCACTTCCTTCTTCCTATTTTCATTATTGGCTATGAATTCTAGTATTGTAGTTTTACATACTATTATGAACAACTAATTTGTTATCTATAGTTTTGATGGAACCTTTTATAAGATAAATTCTCGTTATGTTTTTATATAATTGAACCGTTAGATTTCTCTACTTGTTCAACTACGTATTTACTGCTGTTGATTGGATGTCCATCAATTGACTGTACCAATTTAGTGTGTATTGATTGAGAGAGGATACATATTTAGGTAGTTGTTGAACAACATCACTCCTAACGTATGTGAGAGATCAATACAGAGTGTTTAAATGCGGGATTAGAGATAAAGAAACCTTGGTGCGATTGTAGTGAGCGATAAATTAGTGCCAGCTAGTGTGGTTCAAGATAATATTTCTAGTAAATTGTGGTAGATTCTCAAGAGAGAATTACAACACCCAAAGTACTCACGATCGGTAAAGAATACTTAGGTAAAATTATAGAAGACGTAGCGAGAAGGATTCCGACAATTGGAAAAATCATAACTCTAGACCTCCCTATTTTTTTTCCAACCCGTAGTATCTTTAGTTGTTAATCTACTACTTAATTTGTTAGTTAATTAGATATAAGAATCTTAATATTTATAATTTAGGAATTGTTCGAGCTTGTCTTCTTAGTAATAGTCAACAGTTGTAGCTAAACCTTAGTCCTCTGTAGGATTCGACTATGGACTCTTAGACCGGATTATATTTGTAGCGACCGCTTATCCTTTTTATGATTAGAGTTGGACGTGATCAAATTTTAGTGCCATTGCCGGAGAACTAACGGTGTAGTTGTAGCTATACATATTACTTGGTTTCAAGTTTGAACTTTTATTTTATTTTGTTTTGTTTTATTTTTTTAAGTTTATTTTATTCTACTTGTTGATTTTGTGAAACATGACATCTTGGAATTATGGGAGTTTAGGTGTTGGTAATTCTACTGTTGATCATCATATATATTATGAAGGAAATCACATGTGGCAAAATTATCAAAATATTTTCGAGAGCGAGTTATGTGCACCAACTCAATCTTATGTATGAAATGTGTGTGATATGTGTGGTGGTCAAGATGTTCACTTTCATGGTTGTGCTTATATTTCTTATCCTCTCCCAACCCCTTACTATGATGGTTCTGCTTTTTCTTGTAAAGTTAATAGGAACAAAAATCCTGGGGATGCGGACCTGAAGGAGATCAATGATATGTTAAAGTGTCTTCTGGAACAAAATAAAGAGAAATAACTACAGATAGAAAGGCAAAAGGCAACTATTCGCAACTTGGAGGCTCAAGTGAGTCAAGTGGTCGAAGCTTTTAAAAGCTCAACAAGCCAGTATTGGGGATAGTAGCCAAGAAGAGCCTAGCCAAGTACTATTTGAGGATGTCGATGTTGAGGAGGTTAGAGTAGAATATCGACAACCTAGCCAACTACTATTTGAGGATGTCGATGTTGAAGACGTGAGACTAGAGTCAGCTAAGGACATTGATGTTAAGGATGTTGAAAGTCCTGAAATTCATGTGTTTGAGCGCATTGGTCCTCACTCCAAATATTTTTCACATTGTGTTTGGATGATGATATGGAAATAGAGTAATCCGAGCAGATTGAGGAGTCAAGGAATGAGAAACAAAGTGCCTACATTCTGGAAATTTTCTTGCTAGAAAGACAGGACTACATACCTCATCTAAAAGCCAAGAAGTGTAGAATAGTATAATGGTTGCTTGGGCCAATTAGATTTGTTCCACCACCCCTATAGTTCAAATCATAAGCTCGAGGTGGAGGCAGAAAGTGGTTCACGTCGTGCCGCGACGTTAAATCAGGCGCTTTGTTGAGAGGCAACCCAACTTTAGTGCTTTCTTTTATTTTTAGTTTTCTAAAATTATTTTCTTATTGTATTATTTTTGTAGTATCATTTTTGATTTTTTAGGAGCATGGGAAGCATATCTGTTGGAAGAATGCAACAACAAGCCATATGGTTAGAACTAAGTGTGGGGTTCCCGCACAAAGAAAAATACCCTTGAGAAGTCTGAGTACTCCATGAGCTGTTAATGCTTCGGCCTTTGGCCTACTAGTGAGTTTCTTTTACCCTCTTATTATTTATGTTATGGATTGAGGACAATGCACAATTTTATGTGTGTGTGGGGGGGTTGTCTGGGTATTTTCTATGCAATTTTAGTTGTGTTAGTTTAATTGATAATTTTTTTTTAGAAAAAAAAGAATTGGACTTTTCCCAACGATGGATTTCCTAGACAGTTTTCTTGAGGGATTAAAGTCTAAACAAAAAATTAGAAAATAGAAAAATACAAAATATGTCTTTTTATTCTTCCTAGGTAGTAATAATCCCCCGTGGTTTTTCTTCGTGCCTCGGTTCTTTTCCATGGGATGTAACTTGAACCGGGTAATAATTTTTATTTTTTTTATTTTTAGTGTCGTATGTATGAAATAAAGGAGAAGAAATAATATGATTCACACATTTTGACTTGCTTGATGGTTGCATACTTAGGTTCTGGCATGTGTTTTACCATCCCTTAATTTTAAATATATGATGATGCCTTGGTAAAAATGAATAATATGTGGTATAACTCCTATGTCTCCGTTGCTTGACTTGTGTTCACTTTGTGCTTTATGCTTAATATATCTCTTAGCTTTATGAATACTTGTTTGATTGAGAGTCCGAATGAAACCATCCTTAGGGAGTCATGTGCCATGTGTGAGGTGAGTTATTTGCATAGTCCATGTTATTACATTTGGGTCTAGAACTTACCCGGAATGTGAATTGAATCGAAATCCTAGGTGTTGCTCGGTTTGAAAAATAATTTTAGGCTTTCTTTGATCTTTTTGAGTTTTGTTGTCTATCACAAATAAAATCATCCCTAGTTACCTTTATGAGCCTATAAGCTTTTCTTTTGGCATTCAAATTACATGCCTATTCCCTTTCGTTTTTAATTGAATTATTTTGATTCTTATACCTTTTAAAGCACTTGAATTGTAAAGAGAGCGCTAGAAAGAAGTAATGAGGAAACTTGGGTAACTTTTGAGTGGAACTAATAGAAGGAAGAAATGTGCACCTGTGCTTTAAATAAAAATCCACTATCGGCAAGGTAAAAGTAAAAAAAAGAAGAAGAAGGAAAGAATAATGAATAAATAAAGGTTTCTTATTTTTGCTAGTGGATGTGATCTGAAGCAGTGCATAAAGAAAAAGAAAAAATATTCTGGGGTGAGCTATCTTGTGATGATTGAAGCGGATTGAAGGAATTTTGTGCTTAAAGTTGAATACATAATGTGTTAAAGTACTTATTAGGGTTAGCCACTATATACCAATATATCATACCCGCCCTTTAGCCCACATTACAAACATAATAAGTCCTAGTTGATTTCGGACCGATCGAGCCTACATTAGTAGATGCTTACATAATAGCCAAGCCTATGGTACATTTTGCTTGCATGTGACTTCTTCGAGAGAGTGAGTGATGTTTCTTCATGTGTGAGCCCTTAAAATATATTCGATCATGTGATTTGGATGTGAGGACTGCTTACTCTTTTGTTTTATTGTGAGGGCAAATAGTTTCACAAATGATCGGTAATATTATTAGACTTCTCTATTAGATTAAGTATTCAAGCCTCGGGTGCATTGTGACATTGAGTTAGTTTTCGAAGCTAGGATTGTTATAATCATGTTGTTCCTATGTTAGATGTTTTGAAATTGGGCATAAGTACGAGAAGTGTATTTTGACAGCATATGCTAGAGCTTAATTGTTGTTATCAGCCAT